TCTCCACTTCCTTCAAAGCAGTGGATGCATGAATGCATCCAAAGCTGACTGAAAGGGAGGAGACTAGAAGATAATTAGAGGAAATGGGGATTGTATTTGAAATGTATAACCCACTACTTAGTTCGTGGACTTTATTGGTAAAGGGAAGCTTATGCAATAATGAAGGATAAAAGGATGTCAATTCGACTACTCTATTAAACACAGGTACCAGACTCCTTTTAACCCCAATAGATAGCCCGTGCGGGATCTCCTATTAACAGCAGTAAACAACGCTAGCACAGGGTATACGCAATCTCCGTTCGCCAAACACCAGTCGGTCGGGACTACTAATTATCGAGCCCAGTAGGATCGACATAGTGTATCCCAACACAGAAATCATAGAAAACTCAACAACCAAACCCTTCATCAATTACTTCCATTAAGCATCACCTTACTCATCTCTGAACTCCATAATTTCAACAGATTGAATATTTGTATTTATATATAAAATAAACAAATTTGTCATAGCTAGATAGCTGAGTACACTATGAATTAAAAAAAAGAAGGCACGGATTCCAGGCTTAGTCAGAAGTCGTATAAGGTGGTTACACGACGGAAAGGAACACCAGCGGTCAAAGAAAAATGGCCGCACTCGTGGATCAATTGTGGTAAGCCTTCCATCGGAGGCAATGCAGATGGAAGTGGTCCGAAACGGCCTAGTTATGAATGCCATGCTCTACACCGCGCAGGTGTGGTCACCACGGTCCCAGCCAAAGCAGTGTTACAACTGCAGCCAGTGGGGACACACGCAGGCGTCGTGTGGAAAGGCAGCCAGGTGCAGTGAGTGCGCTGGCGCTCACCAAACTCGGGACTGTGCGAGGAAAAGGGTTTCTTGTGCGAACTGCGGCAAGGAGCACCGTTCGTGGCAGAAAGCAGCGTGTCGGACTTGTTGTAAAAATCTGAGTTCATAACTGCACACACCTTCAGGGGATAACTGTGCACCAGCAAAGTTAACCCCTTAGAGTCTGATCACTATTGCCTCCTGGTCGCTACACACTAACATCAACGTGTTCACTACAATGAGGACACCATTGTAGTTACTCTAGCTTTCATAGACAATAACATGTAGAGGAATAAGGGTAGGAACTCCTGTATATAGATAGGACCTTTTTACTCTCAGTATCTACATCCATCATCCACAAAATACAACTCACCATCAATCAATCATCTTACTCTTTCCAAGTGATCTATTGAATTCTCCCATACCTATCAGTATTCTATTCATAAGGTGACGTCTCCCTATCCATCGCCCTCAGCCTTTCAATAGGACCTACCAGGTCTACAAGGGAAGTGTGGAGAAGGCTCGGATGGAGCTATTATCAAGAACGGCGGAAATATGGAATGAAAACCAACAATGGCGCCAATACGAACAGTCGGAACGACTGATGATCAGGGATTCACTTTAGTCACCAGTAAAAAGGCTTAAGGACTCAAAACAGAGCCGGGACGACCACGCAAGGTAGTCGAAGCCCCAGTGGCACCATCACTATTGGGGCCAAATCTTCGAACACTTCGAAGAACAACGCCGAGTGAGGAGGTGCCTTCTCTATTTAATTTTTCATAACGTTAGTCTGATCGAAGGGGGAGTTAACGAATTCTGGGGAAAGTTTAAAAAATTATGTTCGAAAGGAACGTCCTCAGCATTAAGCCGGGTCGGTTCAGAGTGGCAGGACATCGGGTTTTGTTTGTTGAAAGCCTTTTCCCTTCTTAACATGGCTTATCGTCTTCATGGTTCTGTATATAGATACCGCATAGGACGTTAAACTAGAACAATGAATGAAATAAATAAATAGATCCCATCTGTAGATAATTGATCGCCTCTGCCGTATAACGCAGTTATATTAAACCACCAGAAATTGACCCGTAACCCAAGGTGACAGTTTGTGCGATCTTAAATTATGTCCCGTCGGATTTTTATCCAATATTATCAGCAAAATTATCCTCCTGAACCCTATCTGCGACCCGACATATAACCCTAAGACATCTCCATTTACAATCTGATTTTTTTGGTTTTATTTACATATGTACATTTTCATCAAAGTAAAAATATTGTAAAAATTCACCATGAATACCAACACCAGAGTCACTCAAATTACTGCTCCTTTCCAGCAGAATTGGCCGAATTTGAGCGCTGCCATTGAAAGTCATCACTTCCCAGAAGATTCGAATCCCACTGATTTATTAACAACCATCGCATCTACTACCGAGTCCCCCGAGAAGAATATGCTCTGCAGTTTACTTCAATGCTTCAATTCCAAGTTTGGTGACTTACAAGAACAATAAAAATCGAGTTATTTTAAGCTCACGGAAACTGAATCAGCTCGGGGGACTATTCTCAACACCTATCAGTGGTGTCCCCTAAGAGCCTCCAGCTCTCACTGTAGAGTCTGCAGAGCCGAGATTGAGTAGCAAAGTCCACACTTCGACGAGGATTCTCAATCGCTCTTGCGGTCTGTATCGTCTTCATCTCTCAACACATTCTCCTATCACCATTATTATGAGGCTAACCACGATCAGATCAGATGGTAGGGTCGGAGCCCTACTCATCACCAAACCTTGATCATGGAGGAAAAGCCATCCGATGAGTTTCCGGGGCGTACCTGGCACCCAAGGCGGAGATTGCGGATTCGATCAAGTCGACCTCAACTGTGACAAAGAAGGGAGATATAGATGAATATACGCACCTCATGTAGTCCCGGTGTCTAGGCCTCGCCTGGCTGGGGCTGCAGGTTTTTTGAGACTTTTTCCCGCGCACGCAGTCTCCAATGCTACCATTTTTTTTTCGGGTAGAAGGTTCAGTGGAAAAGGTGGCCGAATTCCACGGGTAAACACTGGGCTGGATGGCTATTCATCAAGGGGAATACATCAATGATCTTTCAAGTAACAAAAGATGATAGGAGCGCTGTACAAGGTGCGGCCTGGGTCAGAGAGGGGCCCAATGTGCTCGATAGTCATAGACTCAAGTAGCACAATAAACACACACACACACTGAATCAGCTCTCACCAAGACGCAACAGCGAGTTACTGAGCTAAATTCAAATCTAGCTAACGCCCACCGATAAATTCTAAATTTGGAGCAGTCTTACTCCCAGCAGTTAAATGCAAGTCTACAACAGGTTGCATCTCTAAACTCAGAACTGTCAAAAGCCAATTTGTATCGCTCTGCAGATAACAAGATTGCAGAATTAAATGATAAAATTTCTGCACTTAAAGATGAGAGAAATACACAATGTGCTCAAGATAATTCGAATTTAAAGCCTACCAAAACCACCAATTCCGTAGATGCTAGGCCCCGTCGAACCAGATCTGATCCAGATAAGTTCTCTGTATTACAGCAAAGTACAGAGAAGCGACAGTTAGCTTACGAAAGTCGGAAAACACACGTTCAGCAAATTTTTGTTGATAGATAGAGATTGTTTCCCCGGTTTTTTATCTAGTATCCTATGTGACAAGCCAACTGTCCGGGAAAGCCCGAGAGGCAGTAAAAGACGGAGTTCAGGCAATGAATTTACACCCCAGTGAACCCGAGAACTGGCAATGGACATCTATTGGGGATTTATGGCATATTCTAGATAAGCTTTACATACTCCTCGACACCTCCAAGACAGCAAAAAATGCCTTGGATACACTGTTTCAAGAAAAGCGTCAATACGGAGACTTCGAGGCAGACTTTGAACATTTTGCTGAAAGGGCTAAATATGATAATCGGACTAAGGTGGATATGCTAAGAAAACGGCTAAATCGAAAAATTTGTAATTTAATTGATAATCAAGTTAATCTTCCTGAACTAGACTACATTTTAGGCTGGAGTGATATGGTGGGCTGTATTGCTCGTAACCTTTAACAACAGAGGCATATTTTTAGGTTACAAACACCTCAAAGCTAAACAAATCAGAATGATCCTATTGCTAATGAATTATCATCTGACTGGGAACCATCCACTATTGCAGACCCAATGGATTTAAGCCGGATCAAATTGTCAGGTACAGAACGAAAATTCCGTATGGATAATGATCTATGTGTTGCTTGTGGGGAAGAGGGGCATACAGCAAAAGATCATCACTGTAAAATTAACCCTATTCCTATGCCCAAGCGCCCATCAAGCTTCTTCTCCAATCGAATCTTCCCTGGGCAGGTAAAAAATTAGTTATAATATTACCAACCTGCACCATTTTCTGCAAGTTACTACCCCCATGGGTTTTCATTCGAGTACACACTAAGAGGAGCCGTTATCCCGACACTATCTCCTCTTTCCAGCCAACGAAACGATGGTCATTAAAAAAGAGTCTGTTACCTGTGTTAAGAAGTTTAGTCGAATTGACATCCATTTATCCTTCATGATTGCATAAGCTTCCCTCTACCAACAAATCCACGAACCAAGTAGTCGGATATATTTATCAACGACAGTACCATCAACTTCAAGTTTGTAAGATAGCTTTAGCTATATTTCATAGTCATATAATTAGTAGGGATTAAAAAACTATTCTGTTCTATGGACTTTGTAGATGCCACTGCAGTAAATGTAAAAAGGTAATCTGAATCAACAACTTATTTTTGCTGAAACAAACCCATTCTTATTGCCCGCAACAAAACGTTCATAGACCTGCCATATGAAAAAACCTATCTCCTCTACTCAGCAATTATTTCATTAGCATATCTAGTTATTTTATCGGCAATTATGAAACAGAGTCTAATAAAATGTCATAAAAACAGCAAATATATTTCAAAGTCAGTCGTAAAAATGGAAACACAAGAAAAAATCCACCCAAACCATTGATCTCCCATTAAGGTGACCAATTAACCTCCTCTAATCAAAGAATCTAAAAAATTCAGTCTGCCCAAGCAATCATGTGGTCCATGTAAAAAAAGAAAATAGAGCCTATGAAAAGCAAAGTATTATAAAACTTAGAATTTAATCTAAAAAATACTTTAGAAACTCAATTATACAATAGTTGTACGAGTTACTTACGTTGGGTTTGGTAGGTATGATTTTTTTCAAAGATATCTAGATTCCACGGACTGGTTAAATAAGCGTCAAACGAATCTCTTTCAGCTAAGCTAGTCCCCCTATCATATTGAGAACGACGTCGACGTTGCTCATCGCGCATTTGTGCACCAGCATTCGGAGCAAATAAGCCTGTTAAAGTTAATGATGCTTTGAACATATTGAAAAATACCTACCGACGTGCTCGGCATTTTCACACGATCTTCTTAGCTTTGATGGATTGTCAGACGCTGGAAAAGGTTCTTCTTGGCCGGCCCGACCGAGAGGATCTTGAAATGTATAAAACAACTTTTGATAATCAGATATATGGCTAAAAAGGTTGAAAATTGAAAACCTTACCTTAGGACGGAAAATCGGAAGCTCTAACATTACGCAACTATTTCTAAACTTTTGGATCAAGCAATCTCGGCCTTGAATAGCTTTCAAATGTAAGGAAATGGTAGTTGGATAGAAAAATTATGGTAAACTTACTTGCATAAGAAACTTCAGCAACCTTCTGGGATCTAAAGCGATACCTATGATTTTAAACTTATCAATCTTAGCCGTAATTAAGGGTTTCGTAAAAATCACCATTTTTGATTCGCACGGGCGTTAATAAACTATCTAGGTTTAAAATTTGTCTTAGGGATTGGAACTGATAAAGATACCTCTATTATATGAAGTGGCTAGAGATATTAGCCATCCATGTTTCAAATTAGGAGCAGAATATCTTACATCGATGAAGTTAACAAAGGCATATCCAACATTACAATCATTACTAAAATCAATCCGTAGGTAGGCGAAGTCGTACTTTCCATGCGATGTCTCATCTAAGATCGATTTCAACGTACTCTGATCAATTTTATTCGGAATGTTTCGCAACATTATCTAAAATGTCTCAAGGCCCAATCAATGATCCAAAGGGAGACTTACTGTAGTTCTAACATCGGCGCCTTCTCGAATACGATTTATATCAACCATATTATGAGTTCCATTGCTCTGTCGTCCCTTGCCAGATAAACAATTTGTCGCCTTCAGACTATTTCGCCGCCCTCCCGAGCCATATCTACCAGTTGAAGATTCGTACTTGTATCTATTTGCCAAGCTTCGATCGTTTGACTGTGGTGTGTATGGAATTAGCTGCTTAGTATCGGGGAAGTTACGGCTCGGCGAAGATAAGGAGCGACTTGGTGTCAACAAGGTATTCAGGTTATTCATATCCATTACAGAAATAGATAGATCACGACTATTAGGCTTAGAAGGCGTAGGAGTCGGTGAGATAAGCGGAAGGTTACTTGGTGCAAACATGTACCCAGAATTGAAAGTTACATGAGAATAAGGAGAATTGTAAGTAGGAGTGTAAGTACCATGCTGTGGATATGATACTCGATCTAGACTCATAGTTTGTACAATATCGTCTGCACTTGGAGGTGTCTCCAAACCTTGTTCTCGATTGGGTGTCAAGCACTGTTTATCCAGTATCTGTTCATGGGCAAGGTCCGGCTCATGAAGGCTGATATTTATTATAGCGCTTTCCTATCCTATTGTAAATAAAATAATAATTCGAATAGTTAGTGGCCCTACCGCAATCACCCGGCGATTTATCCTGCGAACAACATCTTGAGTAACTGATGAATCTTCAAATTCAGCTATAAGGTGATAAATACCAGCTGCGGTCGCTGGCATTTTTTGAGAAGCATAAAGTTTTCGACCATCTCTTTCCAAAAGAATACGGACTTCTTTTTCAATTTGCTTATAGTCAAAACCAAGCGGATAGTTTATCTTTATAACTACTTGGCCTTCATGCTCAGATGACTTTGATTTTTTGCTAGGCGAGGCGACCTAGAAACATAAGTTCCTCTCAGTAAGTAAAAGCTTGAAATACTTACCTTCATCCAGTCAGCATAGGAAATATACTGCGAAGGTACTTCAGGCGACTCCTGACGAAGTATCTCATGAATTTTAATAGCATCTCTTATATTAGAAAAACGTAACCAGGAGTCAGGATGAATATTTATTACGCAGTGAGTACCTTTAAAATAAGATCGGGCTTTCTATGACATACAGTCAGTGTTTCACCTCATTAAAGCATTTAAGATTAATTTTACTAACTGTGAGAGCCTTTTCAACATGTAATGCCGCATCATATTTATCACTGCCAAAACTTTTGATATTCCTGGTTACTGAAGAGCTCGTTGAAAAACACCCAAAATCTTCGACATTCTCATTTTCTCCGATTATTTGTTCAACATGTTGAGTTGTACCTGGAATCGGAAAGGAAGAGCTTATAAGCGGAAGTTTCGGTAATACTTTGGGACAAAAAGGTAACGCATTCGCGGAGAGGTTCGTATGTGTAACGAATGGGTCAGCACCGTCATCTCTTGGTGTAGTTATCTGCGTCATTATAATGAGTTTTCTAAAAAAAGTTGACGGCTGGAATTAGTAAGGTCCAATACTGACTAGAAAAATAGAAAATAAAATTGTTCAAATAGAAAGGTCTTCCCAAAAGATATGAAATAAATTTCGAAAATAACTGATTGAGAATAAAAACGTAAATTTAGCACAAGATGATTGGAAACGCACTTTTCGTAAGTATATAGAATGTATTCAAGGAGCTTGAGGGTTAGGGATTAAAGAATCAATTTACAATACCTGACTGGAAGAGTTGACCTGATTATTAGCAGATCTATTGGTTATTGCAATACGTAAGATCAGATCCAAAGAGTAGCTGGAGGGGCTCAAAATTGGGCAAAATTCTAGAGAGAAGTTGATGATAATGTATTTGAGGTTGGTAGCTTGGTGGACATTTATATCACAGGAGCTGGCACTAGCTTTACTAGCTTGGCTGACAACGATGAATGGGTGTAGACAAGTGAAATGTTCATAGGGAAGGAGCACTTCTTTTTTACCCTACCATAACCGCATGAGCTTGTGAAGCAACATAATAGGCTCATGCTGTTTATAGACCAGCCACTTCACAAGTTAATTTAAACATGCTATGATTTTGACACTAATTTTAGCATGTATCTTAGCTGAAAATAGCTTTATATAAATTTGTAATTCAGAAGACTATAACTTGTGGCGGTGATGCATAAATTTATGACTAAAGGTAGATAGTCGAGAATATTTTCATATTTTCAGGATTCTATTCGGGATGATATGTGATGTTATTTACTCGACGTTAAATGTCGAAACCATTAAATTGCGGCTATTCTTTACCGTTATTCATGTAAACAAATAATTTTCGGATGCTGCTTGATAAGCTGATTCGGACCGGAAACATACTCTCAATTTGATAATTAAATTATGATAAAAATTGAAGAGTCAATCCTGCATGATCATAGGCTATATCAGGTTAAAGGAAAGAACGCCTAGGTTACATTATAAATATCCTTAAGCACAAAGAAATTTAAAGTTTTTATTACTCGAAGTAAATTCGTACATATCTTGGCCATGAGTTATCATATAACACGCTCGTGTGATTTCGGTATAGATCGCTAAGTACAGGAACAATAAATAATAGAATAGCCAAAAATGTGGGCACTTCATTGGCCAAGAGGTCATAATTATTTCAAAAGAAATAATTTGAAAAGAGTATCACGTATTTGATGATAAATTAAAATAAATTAAAGTCTTGTAAAATATGTATTGGGTCTAATGACTCTTGAAAACTAGGCTGGCTTTATCCAACAAGAGGCCTTAGCTGTAGGCTGATAAGGAGACGAGTTATACTGAAATATTAAGTATGAGAGCGATATTTCGGAGAATGAATAAAGTTGTGAATGATCATAATATATTCACCAAGTGTTCGACCTGGCTAGAGTTATTTCAATACCAATCAATCTCATTACCCAGATTTTGAACGGACAAGCATTGAAATTAATGATTCTAAAATGAAAAGAGAAATAACAACAATAAAAATGTTTGGTTTTCTGTCTTTCTTATCGTAGCAATATTTACAAATATAAAGTCCATGTAGGATACTTCGATAAAGTCATATGTGGTATTCACACTTGGGAATGATACTTTTCTACATCTCTTTGAAATTCTAATGCCCATTTTATTCGACATGGAAGAAAGGAACGCTTAGCTTCAAAACTTCCAGATCCAATTATCCGTGAAGACACCTGGAATTTTGACGGAGATAGTAAGATGGACTTCCATCATAGCGGAGAGCCTCAGAAACTGTTATGTTTCTGCGGTTGTTATAATCTCCTATTTCAATTCCCAAGGTCTTGAACAAACAATTAAACGCCACAATTCTGGATAGAGTCGTTCACTTGAAGTTGCACTTGCTTATAGTTTAATTGCAGCATGGATGTATGTGTAAAAATATCATTATCACTCCACTCTTAACGCGTTAAATTTTTAAAATGTTAATTATCATAAGAGTGTATTTTTAAGTTAATCTATGATATACTGATATCATAGTTAAGCCTGTCACTTTTCTTAAGGTTGAATGTTATTGCTACGCTCAACCAAGGCATATGTGTGAGTCTCGCGTATCTTTGGTCCAGCCTGGCTATTAAAGGGGATATTTGGGAATGTTCTAAAACTGGCACTTCTCCTTAAAATAGCAAGATGCCTCGCAAGGCGCTGCAGTACGATGATTACAATTACGCCGTACGAGAGGTATATGGCTTTTATCTTCTCCTTCACCAAGGCCTAATTAAGATCATAGATTATCCTTTCTTCCGACAGTAACTACCTGGACCAACTCATACCATTGCTCAAAGATGCCATTCTCACTAATCGAACTAACGGCCTCCTCCAAAATTTCTCTCAGTATGCCGCAGAACGCGACTCTGACATAGAGAACATCGGCCTCACAAAGCATGATGAATTCCTGAAGTCAGTCAACCAGCTTCAAAACGTGCGTGAGAGCACTGTGGCCCTCACCACTGAGATTCTGCAGCTCAACCAGTCGATTCAAGAAAGTACAGAAAAACTATCTGAGCAGAAGGGAGCATTGGTTGACACGACATCTATTCGACAGAATATTGCAGACGCTTCAGAAGCTTTACAAGGGAGCTTAAAGATATTACATGCAGTCAATCAATCTCATGAATTAATTAGGAAAAAAAAATACTACGGAGCGTTGAAAGCACTAGATGATTTACAAACAGAGCACCTAATTCCAACTATCCAGAATAAATATGCTACTCAGTACAAACTAGCTGATGTTATACAAAAGTCTATACCCTTATATCAGAAGACAATCTCAGAGGCCGTCATGTTAGATTTAAATGCATGGCTATATAAAATTAGAGAAACATCGCAATTCTTAGGAGAAGTTGCTTTCTATCACACTGAGTTGAGACGAACGAGACAAAACGAGAGAATGAATTCAAACCAGTATCTTCGAAAGTTTAAGCTGAACTCTGCCATAGAGCTAGTATATGATGAGAGTGAAGAATTTGATGTTTTGGATAACGAAGAGTTGCAGGTAGACTTTACTCCGTTATTCGAATGTGTACACATACATGAGGCGTTAGGTCAGATTGAGAAATTCAAGTCGCAATACGCAGGAACAAGAAGAAGGCAAAAAGAGCTATTAGTGCCTAGCTCTATCAGTTTATTGGATGATGATGAAAATAGCTTGAGTGGACTTCTTGAGGGAATCTCGGGCTTTGCTATCATTGAAAAAGTCACTATGAGAAAAGCGCACAACCTCCGCTCGCCAGTTGATGTGAAGATTGTAACTATCATTGTACATAGAGTTGCTGACAAAGATTACAGGTAGATGAGTTATGGGACTCTATGTGTCAATCAGCCATAAATTTAATTTCCAAAGCATTAGATGATGTGGAGAAAGCGGAGCAAATACTAAAAATCAAAGGAGTCATTGCATTATTCATCCAGACTATGGAGGTATGTCGCCTTATAACCTACTCCAACACCATTACTCACTTATCAAGGGCTGGGGGTATTCTGTTGCAGCTCTGGATAATTTTCTATTGATTCTCTTTGAAAGGTATGCTGCATTACTGAAGAAAGGCTTCAGTGATGATTTCCAAGAGGTCAGGATCCATAAAATTTTTATAGCTGTCTTAACTAAGTAATGCAGATTGTTTCCACCGATGACTACATGCCTATGCCCATTAATAACTTAGATGAATACGATAAAGTTCTCAATGTTAGCTGGTTCAAACCTGAAAAATCTCGCGAAAACCTCACGTGTGTTTCGTCAATATTTTATGGGGTGCTTTCTGACAGAACTAGATTTCCTTGCGTGCTCCCCTTTTCTCAGATGTACCCTCTCTGCTGCATCGATATTCGTAACTTCTTAAATCAATTTTACTTTTTCAGTGATGATTACTTTCAGCATCCATCAACAATCGATAACACTCTAAGAACATCTCTAGACACTTTACTTTCGGAGAAAGTATGTAACTCGCTTGTGGAACGACTTTCTGTTCAATATCTCGGACAGATTGTTCAGATTCTCATCAACCTTGAGCATTTCGAAATCGCTTGCTTGGAGCTCGAGCAGCTACTAATAGCAGCTAGAAGTAGTGCAAGTGCTGGGGGGCCTATCGTTCTCAAGGCAACAGAAGCATTTAGAAACCATAAAAAGACAGCTGAAAAGCGGATTTTTGAACTGGTCAACAGCAAAATTGATGATTTGGTCGAAACTGCCGGATATGACTGGTATTTTCCTCTTGGTTTTTTGAGTATTTTTACTAATCAAACTAATACCCAGGACTGCGCAAACTTTATCGCCTGAGCCTAGTAATTACATGCAGACCCTGACTACATATCTTTCAAATATTATGTCGTCAACCCTCCTAGGTCTACCTCCTTCGATAAAGGAGCTCATCTACTTCGATGCTTTATCGCACGCTACCACTTCTATCCTTTCTCTCCCTCTTTCGCCACATGTTAAGGCCATCAACCCAAATGGCGTTGCTGCTCTCGCTACTGATGTTTCTTACCTCGAAAAGTTTGTGTCAACATTACCGAATGCACCACTATTAAAAGATGGCTTAGATGAATTATTGCAGGTTGTGTCACTTATGCAACTTGAAAACGGCGACGAGTTTTACGATATTGCTGTTCGAAACAGGCGATTTGGACGAGTGGACCCCGTGGCTGGAGCTGCTCTCTTGAACAAGTAAGTTTTTTTGCTCATAAACTCAGTATCATTCCATAAATCTGCTAAATCTACCGAAATCCTTGCTCAATTGTGTCATCCACAAGAGTGACGAACGTATCAATTCCAGCATTTAATTCAACGATCTATCAATTTCTCCAACCTTCAGTGAATAAACACACTGTGTAGAACTAAGCTAATCTTTGAAGGCTAACGTATACGATCGAAAACATCAAATCCAGCGACCTTACAACTACAACAAGACTAGGTGGCTTTGGAAGCCGGTTCATGAAATCTTAGGTGCTCGACTAATCTATTCGTCACTTGAAACGAAAAACCAAATTTCTAAGCTTCATTGTTCAAAAGACATGAATTCATTCATTCTCGCTAACGATGAAGCTTTTTTGCCACCGTAAAAGAGAAAAACATCCCTCAAGTGCTATCTATATTCACAAGAAGTCATTTAACTATGGCCAGCCGTACTCATTGGTTAAAATCGGGTCAATTTAATCATACTTTATGCGACTTTTATTTACTGCAAGACGAACAGTCGCTAGTAGTGAATGAATCTAATAGACTTTAAACTCTCCGCGAAGAAAATGAAGCAGCAATCCAAGAGCGAGACAATTTGTCAACAAAGAATTCTGCAAACTTCCTTAAACTATAAGCAATCTTAGCTTATAGATATGTGGTCCATACTGGACTTCATGAATGAAAAGAATTTTAAATAACTCAGTCAGGAAAGCACATCCAAAATTACCATTTTATTTACAACCGATTTAGATTTGTAGTGCCGCAGTTAAGTACATTACACGAGCTTGTGAATCAAGCTAGTACAGCTGCTGTGTCTTCCTCGAACCCAACATGATTTGCTGACTGGGTGAAATTCTTGGTAAATATCGGAGAGCATGAAGCAAAATATGTTTAGAATAAGATCAATGACACTGACAGGATAGCAATCTCTTAAATATTAAGTAGCAAGCTGGAAGCTTTACATATACAACTGAAGTATATACCTCAGTCGATAGTGCGCTTACCATTAAAATTTCTGGCGTACTCCAAACTTGACGATACACGTTACAAAATATTCGTCTATTGACTTAAATTTAGGTACATGTAGGATTAATTCAATGCAAAGAGAAAGATTTCAAAGTGAGAGTAAAGTTATTTTTCCATTGTGGTTATAAAAATTAACAGTTGCTGGGTGTCTAGGAGTAAAGTTTTACCTACTCATATAAACTAAGCTAGACAGGCCACACGACCTTCCTAGCAGTACATAAATTTCATCTGTAGCTACAGGGCTCTTTAATCAACATATACAACGCAACACCGTACCCCACGTACCTTTATTAAGAGGTTATAACCCTTGCGCTCCCTGTGGAATCATGATTTATTCTTCCGTTGTTCTTCTGTTTACGAATCTACTTACCAATTAGTCTCTAGTAGTACTGCGTTCTTATTCTGTATCTACATCTGCGCCTCTACCTTTCAGTTTTTTCCAAACAAGGTATCTCTGCCTCGCTACTGTTACATCTTGAATCTTTTATTCCTCCTTAAAATGGCACCATCTAATCTTCGCGCCAACTATATGGCACTTCCTCCGGCATCGAAATTTTACGGCATCGCTAACCTGAAAGGCCGGATTCTTCTCACCGAATCGACCTTGCGACAAAACGTACTTTCAGATTGGATAGACCCACTAAAGACTGTAGCTATATACAAGTTTAAAAAGGAAATTGGCTCTAAAGATTGGTCCAATTCAAACGAGCTTGTCAAAATGACACTGGCAATCAGCGTCGATCCGGAATTCTCTCAGATTGTCATGGCCGAAAATCTAGCCTGCGACTGTTATAAAAAACTTTTTCGCTTTCTCCAAGGAAACAGCATTGCTGCTGTTGAAACAAGCATCATTGACTTCCTAGACTTCACAGAGAATTTCGATGAGTATTCATCCTGACAGGCTTATATTCTGGCCCATAAATTAATAGTCTCTAGTCTTCATTCTCTCAGTACACCTCTTCCCTCTCTTGAACACTTTCTGGTATTAATCCGTGCGTTCTCCGTAAAATATCCTCAATGGGCATCCACCCAACGATACCACTTCTATATCGCAACTCCTATCAATCCTGCTCCCATACTTGAGATTCTCTTTACAACACACCAAGACCACATTAGATCAGCTGAGAGCATAGCGCCTTTTCCAGTACCTGTCGCACAAGCTCATGTTACAGGTCCCAAGTTTCAGAGAAACAAGAAGTGGAATGGTCCCAACTGCCAATGGTGTAGTGGTCCGCACAATGACACGAAATGCTTCTTTAAAACCCCAGAACAGCATGCTGAGTATATGAAGAGACTTCCTTGGGCCAATTATACTGAAAACAATAAGTGGCGTTCTGAGTTCCAAAAACGTCACCCAACTAGCAAAGTTTCCACTCATTACTCTAGCTTCAATGCTCATTTTGAGAACTGTGATCCATGTCGAAAGGATACTAACGACCGCGTTCAGCTAGCATTTTTTCCATCACATTCGTGCTCAAGCTGCACTGCCGTTAACTCATATTTCGTGAATTCTAATCCAAGTCCTTTCCAATAGGGTTGCGCGGGAGTTATGAGAACACCATCAATTCCCTCCTAAAATTCTTTCGCGAAGAGTCAACAAAAGGCTCTTACAGTGTCCTCATCTCAGATAGAGCCACGCCAACATAAATGTAACTTTCGCAACGAGGATTATCAACCGTGCTCGACCAGAACTGGAATTAATTCCGCATTTGCTGCAGCAGTCCAGGCTACAAGTTCTCGGGATATCTGACTCCATAATGATATTGCCTCAGTTCATATCACCAATGACATGAATGCGTTCTTCCGTTATCGGCCAGTAGCTGGGTTGCCTATCGTTAAAACAGGGGGAAGTCCAGTTCAGCCTGTCGGGCTTGGCTACATCAAGCTTCGCGTTCTCCGGTAAGATGATTCAGTCAATGAGAGTGTCCTTGAAAATGTTCTCTACATTCCTGGCTTTCCACTGAACATTTATTCTGGGTGGCTTTATGATCTTCGGAATGGATGGGATAAGCATCGGGTACTGTATGAAGCGGACGGCTCAGAATTTTGCCAGCTTCTTCGTGGACAAAATTGTTTACACTTGCGCACCGCTTCTTCTCCCAATCCATGAAGCCCCTGTCACTCTCGGACTTCTTAGCCGTCTAGGACACATTAGCTTTTCAAATGTCCAGCGAACAATAAAAGCAACTCTTGGTCTATCTTACAAACCTCGTAACACGGATTCCAATCTCGATTTAACTACATTGTGCGATCCATGCGAATTCTCAAAGCCGGAGAAGGTTATATGCTGCTATCCGCGTAATCGAGAGTCGAAGTGGGGTGATAGATTTTACGCAGATGTCTTCTTTTACAATCCTGTCGGTTAAAATGGCCATACAGCTGGTATGATCTTCACTGATGGAAAGACAGGAGGACGTTATGGCTACAATTTCCCAGAAAAGAGAAATGCTTTCGATGCTTTGGTCACTTTTACTCGTTTCTTCCGAACTCAAAATGGTTTCCTGCCAAAATGTTTTCGTTTAGATGGTGGTAAAGAATTTGGGGGTGACAAAATGGTCGCCTAGTATCAGCAGTATGGCATTGCAATCGAGCTTACGACTGCATATTTTCACGAACAAGGTGGGCCTCAAGAAAGATCAAATAGGACAGTTTTAGATCCAATGCGTTGTGTCATCAAATATGCGTATCCCATTCTCTCTTTGGCCAGAGATATTCCGTGTTGTCATATACATTCTCAATCGCCTAGCGACCTCGGTCTATGACAAGATGACCCCCTATGAAGCACAGTCTCGTGCCACAATATTCGATGCCTCTGAGCATAAACCTGACAAATCTGGAATCAGAGTATTCGGCTCTCGTGTAATTGTATACACACCAAACGAGCCTCGATTAAGATCGCAGAAAATGGATGCAAGCGCTTAAGAAGTCTTACTCGGTTTTGAAGGGAACCACATTTATTGTTGTTGGATTCCCTCAAAACCTCTAGGCCATCAGCCTGTACGCTCCTCTCGTATTTGTACCTTTGAAGGATTTTTCAATGAATTTTCTGCTGAAAATCATACTGGTAAAATATCTGACCCTTTTAAATTTTTCGATGAGGTTGAATTTTTTTTCCCAATTCTCCACAAATCAGAGGGGACTCGGATAATTCTAAAGAAAATGGCTCATTAGGGGGTGCATATTTGGATGATGAAATAACTCTGCCCCTCGATGCAGGACACGATATGCTTACTGAAGAAGATCCTTTATTTGCACCTCTCCCATAAGTGCCTAAGCGCGATCGTGGTTGACCTCCTGGTGCCAAGATTAAGCCTAAATCAGATAACCGTGTCACTCGCAGTAAAGAAAAAGGCTCAAATTCATTAGATATCCCACAAATTGAGAATCCTGTCTTGATATTAGAATATCAGTCGTATCTATCGGCTCTTATCCCTAACAGCAACCTGAAGACCTTTCTTGAAGCTTTGCCAGTTCCCAATGCTGCTCTTTGGAAAGCATCTATGAGGGAAGAACTGAATGCTCCCAATATAAACGGTACTTCTCAGTTTTTACCTCGCACTGAGCTGCCTTTAGGACGTGATATTATTCCAGGGCGATGGGTTTATAGACGAAAAACTGTGAAAAATGGCCAGCTCACCCGTTATAAATCCCGCTATGTTGTAAAGGGCTTTCATTAAAGGGAAGGATTAGACTACAAAGATACCTTTGTCGGTATAGCACTCTCCAGCGTCTGGAAAGCTCTTCTTGCTCTCGCCGCTTTCAATGGCTATCAAGTCCAAAAAATGGATGTTATAGCCGCCTTTTTCAACCCTGAAATTGATACTGACATATACATGACATGTCCAAACGGGTTGCCTACTCAAGGCGGCTCCTCACTCAACCGCTGGATGTGAAAACTTCAGAAGTCTCTTTATGGTCTCAAGCAGTCTCCACCTCTTTAGCAATCAAAACTTCGTTCTGAAGTCACTAAATTTGGTTGGAAGCCTTTACTTCTTGATTCTTCCGGGTATCAAAGTGACTCCGATAAAACTTATCTTGTTACTCATATAGATTACTTTCTATTGTAATGTGACTGTCACAGTTGCTATAAGTGACTCCTGTCTAAGGTACTAGTAATAGTATATGATGCATGGATCAAATATCCCTAGCACGACTATCATTACAATCAGCGTTAAAAGCTTAGTGTTAATAGTACAACGTGTTGGAATGACATAACAGTTGCTATATTAATAAAGACTTAA